TCCGCGCCTCTTGGGGTCAACGCTCCATCCAAACCATGTTTTTCTCCTGTGAGCCAAAGTGAGATTTAGTCCGTGTGGCGATGCGGTGAAACTGTGCGTAAAGGGGACGGAAATCTGAGTTACAGGCGGAGATCTGCGCGTTGCAGCCACAGACCTGTCAGCCTGCAGCTGAGAGCATTTGACCACACGCGTTTCCTGCTGAGGAAAAGAGTCAGATGAGCTGTGGGCTGCTGTTCAGGTGGGTTTAACCCCCCGATGGATGAGATGTCCTTTACGCAGCGGCTCGCTCTTCTGCTCGGCTTCATCCACACGGTTAGTCCTTTGCTTGTTAATATTATTATGATAGCTCTGAGTTCTTCTTTTTTTTTAAAAGGGTGAATTTATATTTATGCCTTTCACTTTACTGCATTTCCAAGAATTATGTTTACATTTAGAGGTTCTAATTACGAAACTATGCTTATTATTAAATTATTCTAATGATCTACTTCATTTATGTAATATTTCTCTAAAAATGGATACCATACATTTATTTCATGCATTTGTGTTTTCCATCCTGATCTAGAAATCATTACTTTATCATTTACGTCCAAATGAAATGACTTTCTTTCAATATTTTTAAGGACTTCTTCAATCTTTCTGAATGTATTTCACGCTTTAATCCAGTTTAAAAACTGATCTTTTTAGAGGAATGTTTTTTAAGCCTTCAGCTTGAGCTGAAAATGGCCCATAACTCAAGGGATGAACACATGTTTAAACAGACAACTTGGAACCTGACACGGGACCTGAGAGATGCATTTGGATCATCTCCTTTTGGCCCAAGCTTCTTCAGAAATGCTCTCCATGGAAGGTTGCTGTCAAGAAGCCATTTTTAAGGAAGGGAAACAGGAAGAAAATGTTAAACTATGCCAAATGACACAAAAAATATACTGAAAACCAGTGACAGCAGCTGGTAGAACCTCCCTAACCATGTTGAACTAATGTTATCTGAACAATATCATAAGCCTTAGATGTGGTTATAGGAGAACTGTAGCCCACTCTCAGCATTGCTTCAGTTTATTGAGGTTTGCAGCATTTTTAGGTGATGGTAGTTCTGATTTTTTTAAAGGTGCTCACACTTACCAATGATCAAATAGTTCATTTACCAACAGCTTCTTCTCAGCCGGAATTCTTTTGGATCATTGAACATTGAGTTTATGTATTGTATCCCATTTTTAGCTCAGTAAATAATAAATCATTGGGATATGTGTTGTTTATCAGATGAGGTTGCAATTACCTCATTTTAAGGCCTGATGAGAACCAGAGGAGTTTATATCCCAACTAAGAAAACCTCACTGTATGTGAGAATATTTACCTCTGACAATGTGTAAAAACCTCACCTCAGTTATAACACCTACATTTTTCATTTTTGTTACCGCTTATTCCCTGATGGGGTCGCGGGGTGACTGGAGCCTAACCCAGTAGTCCATGGGAGAGAGGCGGGGTCACCCTGGACAGTCCCCAGTCCATCACAGGGCCACACAGAGACACACAAGGACAAAAAACCACGTACACTCACAAACACTTCTAAGGGCAATTAGGAATGTCCAATTAACCTATTATGTAGGTTTTTGCACGGTGGAAGGAAGCCGGAAAATCCGGAGAGAACCCACCCAGACATGGAGAACATGCAAACTGCACACAGGTTCAAGTCCTGGTTCCCCCGGGGACTCAAACCCCCCTCACCTACATTTTTCCAGTTTGTAATTCATTATTTGTATGTTTACTTCTTATATAATTTATCAGCTATATTTCCGTTAAAAATCATAGAAATTGTTGCAGTTTTAGCCAGTTATGGTCAGATTTAATGAAGAGGGCTCTTTTATTCATTTCTTCATTACTTAGAGTAGATTAATCCGGTTGTTGCCATCTTGATGTCTTCCGACCTGCAAAACACAAAATCAATGCTCACAGGGTGAATGTGGTGTGACTCTCTGTTGCCTTCAGATGCGAACATATGAAGCCTGTTTTCAGATGTTGATATCTATTACCAAACGCCCTGTTTGTTAGTGTGCGAAGGCCCCATAATATTGTGAAAGAGACTGAAAGTTTTCCTGAGGACCAATCCCCTTAAAGCTGAATAAATCAAGTATTTATTGGAAGAAAAGGCGTCTAGCCGTTGCGGGACTTGAGTTTGACCACTTGAAGATTTTCTTTCAAACATTGCAGGATGATGAGCAGCCTGTGGCCAAATCCACTGACCAAAGCCTGAATAAAGGAAAGAGATGAGGTGTAAGTCTGATAAGGAGGTTTCATTTGAATGTGATTTATGTTGATCCGTGAGTTTGCAGAAGAGCAGCAGCCCCGAAGTTAAGAGGGCAGAAAATAGCGTTAAACGTCGATGCCATTGATCTGTAACCGTCTGCTGGTTTTGTTTTTCTGGCTTGTCGAAACCGTGGTGTAGCCTTCTCCTAAGGCTTTATGAAGGTGTTCATTCTTATGTATCGTGTGGAACTGGAAGGGAGGGAGAGGATCAGCCCAAAATGAGTCCAAACAGCCAGCTGGAGTGAAAGATATCTCCCTGTAACAGAAGCTCAAGTCTTCACAGATTGCTGACACAAGGTTCAGGATCAAAAAGTTTAGTTAAATCCTGTTTTATGTTATTCCTGAATGCTCTACCTCAGTATGGAGCTGGATGCTCCTGCTGCAAAACCGAGAAAAATAATATCAAAGCAAATAATCCTTGGCTTGATTTCCCAATTTATTTTCCCGATTTTGCTAGTTAGTATTTACAGTCTTTTTTCGTTTTGCCAAATTGTGAAATATGGTCCGTGTAAACCCAGTGAAATACTTTAACTGTTGTGAAACTTCTGCATAGCATAGCCCATCCAAATTGGGATATCCGTCTTTATCTGAAGCCAGGAGAGCCATTTGTACTCTAGAAATGTCATAACTCCCAACCCTTTTTGAAATATCTGCCAACAGTTTTAATAAAGGTTTTTATTTTTAAATAAAAGTTGCCGAAAACAGACATTTCACTCGTATTGTTCCAGCACATTCTTGTTTCTCCTTTATTTACTCCAGCATGACACATTTATTAGAGATTCACATGGAAAAATAATGCCAGGAAAAGTGCAAACTGGAGTCACTTTTCTTCTGTGAGCGCTGAAACAGTTTTCATCTGCCAGCCATGAGGATGCAGGAGAAGCAGAAACAGCTGCACAATCGCTATCATCTCCAGTACAGTTTGTCCCACAGTATGTGCACAGTTTTCAGCCTGACCCACTGACCAATGCACCAAACTTCCTCTGGAACACAAAATGCAGATTCGTCCTCTGATGGAAATTATCCAAAAGAAATGCATTAAACAGTACAGTTCTTTATTCTTTACTTAAATTTAGTTTAAAATAAGCAATTTTTTTGGAAGGCAGCAAAAGCAGTGTGGGATGCATTTTTGCTTTTACAGAAATTCAGAGGATATTTCCCAGCCAGGATCTGCTAATCAATGCACTGGTTAACTGACCAGGACTACAAAGGAGGACACCAGCTATGGTCCATGAGAAGCAGTCTTCAGGAGGTGTTTAAGGCCATCTCCAAACTATTTTGAGTCCGTCCAAGAGAGATAGATTTAAAGCTGTCAATCTTCCATGGAGGGCCTAGAGAGAGTCTTGATTGTTTTGGCTGCAGGAGAAAGCCACTTCTCTGTAGAGAGACTGCGTCAGCACAGTTTAGGTTTTCAAAACTGCACCTCAAAACGACTTCAGCAACAAAGAGCAAAGCAGAGTGTTGGTCAGGAAGCACAGAAAGCCAGCGCAGCACATCAGCACAAGCAGCTCATAGCAGGTGTCAGCACGGTGGGGGAGGGATGATGATCTGGGCTGGTTCCGCAGCATCAGGACCTGGGAGTCCACCATGAACTCCCAAAGGGCTCAGAGTCAAAGATCCCAAACACGGTCGCAGATCTACTACAAAAGTCCTGGAATAGAAAAGAATGAAGGAGCTGAAAGGTCCAGTCAGCTGAAGCATCCATGGAAGGAAAACGTCATACTTGCTTCATTTTATGATAACATTCTTCGCCGATTAGTCTTTTTTTTTTGGGTAAATTTTTCACATAGCCGTGACATTATGGAATATTTTTATAGATTCAAAGTCTCCCGTGAGAAACACTGAATTCGCAGAGAAGTATAGAGACATTGTCTCATCCTGACAAAAATACAGCCGATCTGTTCGGATTTTCACTTCACATGCAATCAACTGTCTTTTAATTGTCAGTGTCCTCTTTGATTGGTCAGATGTTGACTGAACTTAAGTGGTCTTTTCTTAATGAACATATTGAGATGGCAACTTTAGTCAGAAAAGATGGAGCCCCGGCAGGAAGTGAGGAAATGTGTGTGGGTGTGTGTGACAGAGTGTTATAAACACCCTGACAGGGCTGACATGCTGCTGAGAGTGGGGATATATCTCAGTGTAAACAGACCTCCCAGCACATACACAAACTCAGTATATCAGCAAAGTCGAGTTGACACATGAACTCATTCTGTTTGAGGGCTTTTCTCTTTGTGCGGATCCTTGACGCTTGCTTTTGTGAACACTCTGTTTGAGTGTGTGTCCTTGGTTACCATCAGCTGTACCAGAACGCCCGTAAGATCCGATCTGAGGCTGGACAACGTTTTTTTTTTGTTCATTCTGTGTTTGACACCCAGCAGCAGTGGAGACTGAGCCGAACTGACAATCGTAGCACGAGTGGGTTCTGATTGAATAATCTTCTATAAAGCGAGCAAAAATCGGCAAAACCGACTCCATTGTCTTTTCTTCGTCGCTTTCTGATATTTGGGAATATTCTTCAACCCCGTCTGGTTACGGTTGCTCTATATTGGAGTCTCATCTGAGTCACATCTGAACAAACAGATATTAGACAAAACCTTTTTTTCGTCACCTAATGACTGAGAGTAGACAACCTCTAGAGTTGTCCCAAATAGAAAGAATAAGGAACAGAATTAGTTAATTGTGCTAATAAGGGCTAAATGTCTCCATTGGACTCAGATGGATCAGATTCAGTCCCGAGGGCCTGCGTGAGAAAGCCCCAGAAAGGTGAACTTTAGTCCAGAGAGCTGCTCCGTTTAGTCACAATGAGGCTGAGGCCGAGCCTCTGACTGACGGGGAGCTTTGTGCTTGTTGGAGGTAATATTCATAATATTTATTTCCTCGTGTCCCGACAGGTTAATGGAAGGTTTCCTCACTGCCTGCTTTACTGGGAGATGGAAAGATCCAGAGGAGAGTGTCAGACACAACTGGAGCAGCAGACGCCAACTGCCACAGGTACATAAAAACACCCCCCCCCCCATCCCCCTCACCCCCGGCACTCACGGGGACCTCTTTTTTCCAGCACATCTGAGTAGAAAACAAGGGGCCACAATTGGAAAGCGTTTGAATATGTGTGTGTGTGCGTGTTGACCGAGGTCAGTGACGTCAGTTACGTAACGAGGAGGGTGTGCCAGTGTGCTGTTTCAACGCTGCGCTATCCGTCATTTAGTCACCTCTCAGGCCAAACACACAGAGAGAACACACACACACACACACACACCCACACACATACACACACACAAATACAGATGTGAGGCCACAGGTGTGCTGGTATGTGGAATGAGCAGAAGATTCTCGGTCGTGAAGCATAAAAGGTCTTAACCACCAAAACAGATGCAGAGGTCCTCAAAATGAAGCATTTCCTTCTGTTTAACTCAAGAAGGACAGAAACAACCGATTCAGGAGTGAAAATGAGTCGTGAACCAAAAAGAAAAAGAAAAACAGCATCTGAAGACAAAACTAAGGAGGCTGAAAAATCATTGAAACAAAACAGGGACGAGGTCTCTGAGGTAACTTTGAGAAAAGCGGGCATCTGTATACCCCCAAAAAAAAGTCAGTGAACAAAAAACAATTGGATCCATTACAGCAACGTAAAAAAGTAAACTTCAGAGACACACCAAAAGCGTCTGATCAGACAACAAAAAATACAGTTTACCCCCCATCACGTTAGTTCTCTTACTACCTGCAACACTGACCTGAATCTCACCTCAACATTTGAATGATATCTTTACTTGCTATGTGCAGTGTCACTACTCCTGCGGGGAAACGCATACAGGGGACACGTGCAACATTGAGCTGTTTTTTATCTGGAAGGTCGTGTTTCTGTGAATGCATCGCTGCTGTGATGAAATGTTTTTTATCTTTGTGCTCTGCAGAATTGAGCAACGGGAGATTTTTCTCACTCGCATTTAATCTTAGAGTGTGGACCCCTATGAATTGAACCCGTAAGACTTATCAGTCCAAATTGTTTATGTAGTATTTCATGAGCCCTAAATTCAAGCCCTAAAATGTGTTAGCAGCTGTCTAAAGCAAGGAGAAAGACAGATATTAACCCTCGTCACCTCGCAGAAAGAGGGTTCTGGGTTCAAGTCCCTGAGGGAACCAGGACCTTTCTGTATGGAGTTTGCATGCTCTTCCTGTGTCTGTGTGGGTTGGACATTCCAAATTAGGCTTAGTAGTGAGTGTGCATGGTTATTTGTCGTGTGTGTCCCATGACTACTGGGATAGGCTCCTGTCCCCCTCTGACCCCATTTGGGAATAAGTGGAATTCCCTTTTGGGACCCTCATATCAAATTAACCTACTTGGGGGTTTAAAAAAAATTCTAATATAAATTTTACTTTAGAAACCATTACCATAAGGGCCATTCATCCACAGTAACATTGAGCCCAGAGTTGTAAAGACTAAAACAGTGAAAAAAGAAACAAAATCAATCAAAAGTCACAGTGAAGTTGTGTGACTTAATTCTAAATTTTGAGTCTTATGAAAATCATAAGACTATAAATCATTGATTTATGGGTTTACATTTCATCTCACTGTCAAAACATTTTGGAACAAGTGGCATCAGACTAAAAATCAACTTTTGTGAGTTTACGTGGGTTTGATTTGTTGTTCTTGACCTCTTCTAAACAGGAAGTTCTCTGCTGGCTAACTTTTCATCTTTGTGTGTGCGTGCGTGTGTCTGTGTGTGTGTGTGTCTGTGTGTGTGTGTGAACAGGATGCCAGGGCGAGTGGAACAACGTCTCGTGCTGGCATAGTGCAGCGGTCGGTGAAGTGCTCACCCTTCCTTGCCCCACCCCTTTCCTGCTCTTCTTTGGCAAGAACGGTCAGCGTCACCTCACACACACACATTTCCTCCTCCTTTCTTCATTTGTCCTCCTCCGCACACACACTCCACAGGATAAAAGGAAGAGCTGAACCCAAAAAAAAAACACCCCCTGTTTTCTTCTTCCATTAAGTGGTCATTAATTGACTTTCAGTATTATTGTTGGACTTAAATTAGCTTTACCTGTTAGATAAAAATCTGCTGGGGGATGTTTTGCCTCTTTTACATGCACTTTGCAGAGAGGACCAGCCTCTAAATAACATAACACACACACAGTTAGTAAGCAGCAAAGCAGCAGCTGATACCCACACCTCAAATTCCCTCGAGTTCAAAGACGCCATACCACAACTTTTTATTCCATTAACATCATGTTATCTGTTGAATACGTATCAGTTGATGCTCCTTAATGGACTATAAGTGCTTTGGTTGTGTGTATAAGAGGGAGAGAAGGAGAGTTAAAAGTTTTCAATTAGAAAAACAGTGAAGGTTGGTTGGACACTGGGTGTCCATTTAAAAAAATGCCAGAAGTGCAGTCGTTTTAGGATTGTTCTCTTGTTTAGTTTGTTTTTGGCATTTGCTATCTATTCTTTTTACCATGAATAATAAGAAGGAGAGTTAAGATATTAGATTCAGAAATCTCCGCTGCATCTGGCTTTTTCTCAAAGGTTTCCTGAAGTGAGCAGCAGCGTTTCACAGCTTGCTCCCTTTTGTTGGACGGCGTTGTGTAGGAACCGTGTTGTCATCCCTGGATCTGTCAAACACGGAACACCCCAGGTTGTCTGTGCTCCCGTTGAGACTTCCGTTCGTGTGACATGTAGGGAAGGTTGCACTGTGACGCTGTGTCATACCACCAGTCTTCTTTCACATGGATGCCGTTTGGACGTGGCCTAAGGAAGGATACACGGCCGTTGCTCAGCACGTTTGCTTTGTAAACGTTCACTCCTGTTGGCTTATGAACTTTCTCGTCCCAACTCTAACCGCTGAGTATAAGGCGCGTTGCGGGGGCCCTTGATTTCTTCACATGCTTATTCACCTTTAGGATGTTCCTCCCTAAGAGCAGGAGGATTGGTGCATTTGTCCACAGGTGCAATTTTACCGGCAACTGACCGCAGGTATAGGTGATGCCGTGCAACCTCCGGGTAGGGGATTTATGTCCTATCGTACAGAATAACACTATGTGGGATAACGGCTTTAATCTGGTGTTATACAGGAATGCTGGTGATGCATCCAACTGGATGTCATTTTACTAAATTAACTATTTATTTAACCTTAATTAAAAGTCCTTATTTGAAATTGAATCATTCAAAACCATCTATTAAATTTAGATTCCAGAACTGACTTGGATGCCAGATGACTCTGCTGGGATGTCAGTTTTATGTACAGCCACAGACAGTTTTTGGGTTATGAGGATGTGGGAATTTTATGGGAATTTTCCACTATTTAATTGAAAAGTGTGACATAAACATTTAGAAAATGTCCTTTTTTCATTTTTCAGACCGACTCGGAGCTGTGGCTCTGAGACACTGGCACCTTTGATCATGTGTAAAAAATTAGATTTCAGGGGTCTAAAGATGTCAAACTTTCTGCATCCATCCCAGGTAACCTCAGCAGGAATTGCACAGAAAAAGGCTGGTCCTCTGTCTACCCAGACATCAGAGTGGTCTGCTCGTCAAACATCCCGGATCAACCAAAAGAGGTGAGCTCAGCATCTGAAATCAGGCCACTGTCTGTTTCTTAGCTGTCAGCAGTCCAAAAACGTCTTTCGGGCCCAATTTTTGTTTTTTCATCTCGTTTGGCCTTTCACTGATGCTCTAAATGTCAGGGTGATGTTGGATTGCCCTTTTTAATAAATGATACATTATATTAAAGGAAAATACAGCTGCAATTAGAAGTTGGTTTGTTTGAACAAAAATGCATCCCGGGTGGTAGATTTATTAAAAGAAACATTTTTGCTGACCTGCAGAAATATTTGAAACCTGGAACCTGAATTAATTTTGTTTTTCTCAGTCTAATAATCTGTTCAGAGAAGTGTGTGTGTGTTGGTTTGGTTTCACATCCTCCTCTTGCCTGCTGATACGAGCACAGTGAGCCAAAGAAGTCCTCTTATCGCAGACGAAGTGTCGAGTTACAATCTTTCTACAGAATAAACAGATAAACAGTTTTAACATCCTGTCGACTGGGAGGAAAAAAGAAAAACAGCTTTAAATCTGCAACTGTGTCACTTTTGTTTGTGAGATCATGTTGGCTTCTTTGGAGTTGAGCTTGCAGGGCTTCTTTGTACTTGATATTCTTTCTGTTGAGCAGGTCTAGAGGTGAGAGATGTGCTTTGAGCCTCTGTTAAAAGTTGTTCTTTGCAGAAAGTACGAAACCTCAGCCCCCGTTTTTGAAACGCTGAAAAGTCCAGTTTGTCCTGACCTATATGCACATATGGTTACTTTGTGGTGAATTTTATTCAGATCGCGTGGTTTGGACTACTTTGAGCTCAGCACATCAGGCTGATCTCCCTTTCAGGGTTTGTCCCAAAGGTGTTTTTGTGACCCCACAACAGTGTTCAGACCACTGTTTAGAAGTAGTTTACAGCCAGCGGGTGATGTGTGAACATACTCTACATCAGAGTGAGGGCTGTGAAGCAGGATATGTTACAGAATTGTACGAACTTAAGCTTCTAAAAGCACTTAGTTATTGAACACAAATAATCCAAGCATCTATCCTTCCACTGTCATTTGTTTATCTGAGATTGGGTCATTAAGGTAGAAAGCACAAGCAGGAGGCTAACCTGATGAGTCCGTTCTTGGAGAAAACTAATCAACATCTTTAATTTACAGTCTTTGCGCTTGTATGTGTAAACCAGACACAACGGATACATTTAACACCTTTAAGCACCTTTGGACCTTTTGGCTTCTTTTTGGATGTCATGCTAAACCCGACTGGTTTCTGTAGGATTGTTGTTAACACATTTAGTCTCCCTTCGTCCTCACATCACCGCTTTATTAGCAGGTCCTTCCTGAGGGCAGCAGACCCAGAACGAGGCTTCTCTCCGCACTTCAAATATTGTTCAAGTGGTTTGACAAGCGTGACAAATGAATTAAAGGTGCCGAGTAAGCCTCCAAATCCCCTGTATCCCCAGACTTAGACTTTGTCGGACATCTGTGGAAAAGCAAGCCCAATACACAGGGGGCCCCACCTTTTAGGATTTAAGGATCTGCTACTTTTGCCTTTGTGCCTGTAGCTGTAGCTGAGGCCCTCTGCAGAGGTCCCGTGGAGTCCATTCCCCAGCAGATCTACGCTCTCTCAGCAGCATGTGTGGAACTCCAATAATATCAAGCAGGTGGTTCGGTGTAGTTTGCTCTTGTGGCGAGACGCTGGCTTATATTATCAGCTCCTCCAGTGGAATTAGGAGGTTCAGTTCCCGGTCGGGCCACACTTGGCACCCTAATCTGCTCTGGTCTGTTTCCATATCTGCTTCCTCACAAGATGAAGGTAAACCTTCTGAAAATCCCCGCCGTCGTCTGATTCTGCAGAGGATTATGAAGCTGAGTGACACAGCTGAGTATTTGATCTTATGAGTGTTGCGGATTGAAGAAAAAAAAAGGTTAAACTCTAAGTCTCCTGGAGTCTGCTCTTGGTTAAAAGATAAAAACTTGAAATCTTTCATTTAGTTTTTTTTATTTCTGGAAGAGAATAAATCAAAAAGATGGCGACACCACATCCATCCAAGCCCAGGACGTAACAGTGGAGAGAAATTCAAGAGTTTTTTTTCCTAAATTACTCAGCAGATACATGGGTTTGAACAGGAAAGCTGTAAAGCTTCTTTTTTCTAATGGAGACATTTGATCACTTTCTGTTTTCCATATTCACAATTTACACAGATTACACAGAACTTACTCTTTGTAGTTATGTATTTCTTTTATGTTAAACTGAACACCTTTCAGCAGGTAATATCTGACTTTTACTTTAGCAGGAACAGTGCGTGCGTAGAGATTCAACTTGCAGTTAGTGACATGCATGAAGGTCATTGTTTTATGGGCAGGATCAATGAGGAGCGTTTATAGCACCAGAACAAATCAAACCGGATCGATTTAGCCCAGTTTGATACGGCTGGTGTTGTCGTGTAAAACCCCGCGGAGTGGAAAAAATAGAGGGTTGTGCAGGATTTGTCCAGGAGCCCGAAAGGTCAGCGTCGCTTTAATTCTCTGCTGTGGTGTGAGAGGAAGACGGGGAAGGCGGGTCTAGCCAGAGTTTATGGATGGATGTGCGGTTGAACATAGAAGGCAGTGTGGCTGCGGCAGAGCAGGAACGACAGGCCATCAGTTCCCAGCAGGACGGCCTGAGAGTCCAACTGAGGAATGAGACGCTGATGCCAGGCTGTTTATGTCCTAGTATGTGGGAATATTTGTTAGGCACAGAAACTGCTGGAAGAAATAATGAAGCAATAATGGCACCTAAGTCATGCCAGAGTGGAAAAAATACCATAAAGGATTTATTCGACTTATGGCAAAAAAAAGAATGTCTTTTTTTTAATGATTTACTTCTGTTGGGTTTAAAGTTATTACTCTGAACAAATACTTATGTTTTTTTATGTTTTGCTTAGTTTCCATCACGTACTACCATGATGAGGAGCTAGAATAACAATCATTCTGCCCTTAGAAAGCAACTTAAAACATTAAGTCATGTATCTTTAAACATTCGGCTTTATCATAACATTAAAAGTATGGCCTTTTAGACAAACCAAAAACCCTCAAACACAAACAAAATATGCAAGTCTTCAGAAATAACTGTCTCAAACCTCAAAGGACATAAAGTATTGTCTCAATGAGTGTTAAAAGCCAGAGTGAATAAGTCGATTTTAAGAATGGATTCAAAACAGAGAAAGAGGCCTGTTTAATGTCTTGTTCCACGGCTTCAGTGCATCCTAACCTTGATGCCCTCTGAGCTTCAGCATCGTCTTTGAAACAAATGCAGGGCCGGATGAGCTCAGAGAGGTGGTCTCATCTTCTTAACAAGGTAGAATTCAGCAGAATGTTGATTAAATTGCGATCGAATCCACTCAAACAGCAACAACACAGTTCAAAGGCTGCCGGCTTAGAGAATTAACCAAACTCTGGATGAGAAGGACCCAGTAATGCAGACTCAGGTGGAACATCTTATTCTAAGCTCGAGAAACAAAAAGACATAACAGAACCAGAACATTTGCAGCACAAACCATAGATGAGGATCTGTTGAGGTCTAAAGGAAAATAGGGAGCTTAAATTCAGAGGAAGATTTATTGTTGTGGCAGAGGAGCTACTGAACAGAGCAGAGGAACAATAATCCCAATATAAACGCAGGACTGAAAACAAGGAATGTAAGCAAACTGGGAACATAGAATCAGATCATCCAGCTGTGAAAAAACAGGAAAAACAGAACACAAAATTCCGGATCATGGCAGAATCCGTTTGGGTGTGGGTCCCTATGTGATCCTAAGATGAACTGGTAAAATGGGGGTGTACCTTCTTCCTAAGTGGGTGGAAGCTGCAGCACACAACTTATCAAATGATACATAAAGATAAGACACCTGACTCTATTATCTACATCACTCCTGCAGGGGACAGACGGTGCTCTTTGAGGGACCAAATTTGTCAATGATTTACCAAGAAAAAATAAAAAAATAAATGGAAAAATGAGAAGCACAACGAGAAAGGATGACAGGAAAGACAAAAGTCTGAGTCAAAGAGCGAAACAACAGCAGAATATGGCAACAAAACCATTTCAAATGAAGAGAAACCAACAGAGACCAGCTCTCCACAGAGAGAGAGAAGAAAATGAGCAGAGAAATGAGAGAGGGGACAGGGATAGCAAGTCTCCAAAAATGGCAATATTTAAGTTAAAAGACAAGTGTCTGCAAAGGATACTTAAGTGCAGCAGCTGCAGAAGACGATGTGGAGCACCCTCCACCTCTTTTTACGGGAGTCCTCCTGGTAATCCATCTGTGGGAGACCATTAAACCGAATGAGTGAGAAATGTTGTCTTTAAAGTCTCTCTGGGAGATCAATTCAGTGATGCTTCCTACATGTTTTTAATGGCTGTGTGATGTTTGCATGATTGCATGCTATGCGTGGAGCGTATATTTCCAGTCGGTTGGCGTGTCAGACGTGGGGAATGCTGTTTACAGACGTGGAGAGCGATGAACACCAGGCACACACACATTCACGCACAGTCAGCGGGCAGCGTGGACCGGGCTCCAGATCCCCTGCTGCCTGAAGAGTTTGAGGAGAGTTAGCACAGCTTTGAGATGGACCAGATCCTCCTTCTGACCCTGACCCCCTTCTGATTGTGAAAGAGCCTCTCCACTGTGGAAAAAGAAGCGGGAGGCATTAAGTGCTGTTAATCTTTCCTCCCTCATTTCGCTCTCTTTTCTGTCTTCTCACTGACTGCATTTACAAATCCTCTGAAGAATTTGCCTAAACATGTGAAAGTGTTAGTCTGAAATCATAGTAATGCATATTTATCAAAGTCAGATTATCCCCCTCAGATTATGGGGGTTTGTTGCATGCTGGGATTGCAGATTTTCAATTCCAACGCTATAGTTAGCGCTTAGATTCAGGTTTGTTTGGCTGAAAACTGTCAAATGTGGCTAAAAGGTGAGAGATGGAAAAGTAGATAAATTAAACTGGGAAACTAATACCTAATACCTAAAAGATTATTAGTAACGGTGGAGGACTGTGACATTAAAAACACGTTGTCATAAAAGTAAACACATTTTAAGATATCATAAGGGAAATTGCCGTAGATTGTCTATATACTATTTTTTTCTACTCAATCCAAAAATCAGGTAAATATTGAATCGAAGCAAACTTAACAGACTTAACAATCAATTTATTTATTCAGAAGCTTGTTCGTCATGTCACAAATTTAGCTATTTGGGAGCAGGTTAAACCAAGACCTTTTTTATATGTAAAAAATCATCATTAAGATCAACAACTGCCGACCAAAAGTGATTTAACCGAGCCAGCAGAGGTGGTTATTATTCACTTCCACCTGCAGATTTTGAAGCCCAATGGGCTTTATGCAAAGCCGCCCAGCTGCGCTTCACATGATGCGATTATCAGCTGTGACTGACGGCCCTGTTGTTCCTGATCCAAAGCCCCATGAGTCGTATCTCCGTGTTTGTGTCCAGCTGGTCTTCTACAAGGTGGTGCAGACTCTGTCCACTCTGGGTCACAGCCTGTCGCTCACTGCTCTGCTGACCAGCACCGTCATCATGTGTCTGTTCAGGTAAACGCACACGCAACAATTCAACACACATCTGGCGAAAAACAGGAGCGGAGTTTTTCTTTTCTAATGTCGGCCTTGGCCTTGTGAGCGTTTTTTTAAATTTGACTTTCACGACCGTGGAAAAGTCACAAACCGTCACTTTGATAAGCGTGTTATAGAATAGAATAGTCTTTTATTAATCCCTCAGAGGGGAAATTCACCATCCATTGTCATGATTACTGATGACAGACGGGATAAAAGACCTCCAGAGGTGCTCGGTGGGAGCCTGCTGATTGAAAAGCTGCTCAGAGCTCACACAGTGTCACGGGGAGTGGGGTGAGAGATGTGGTCCGTGATAAAAGACTGATAAACTAAAGGAAATGATGTGTCTTTGTGACAGGCTGCTAGTAAAAAAAGTGCTTAAAGATCCTATTTAAACTGCATCTTGGCTAAGTTGTCTGCTCTGTGTCAACACAACACTGTTAGGGGCCTTCTTTCTGCTTTAATGATTCATAGGTCAGGGGCTTAAAAAAAAAAAGAAATTCCTCTGATAATGAGAAGCAGAAAATATCCAAAGAAAAACTGAGAGACCTTCAGAAAGCCTGGAAACTACTGATTCTGACCACAGTCAAAGATAGTTGATCACTGGCCTGCTGACCGGTTTTATTTATTTTAATTGTATTAATGTTTTATTAAAATGACATCATACGTCTTTTTTAATCATGTGACTTTTGCCAAAAGACCTTTTCTCTGCGGAACTATGAAGTTGTAATACACCAACATGTGTGTACAAATAAGAAAGAATTCCTATATCAACTGAAAATTTATATTTTATATAAAGAACTGAGCACTGAAAATTGAGTTTCATTTACATTTTCAAAGATTTTAATGTTTAAAAAAGGTTTTCGAATTAATTATTTTTAGTATCCTAATTAATTAGCTATATCATGTTTCAGGAGTATTTTGAGAGGCTCAACACTGACCTATCTCAACATTTATGGTGAACCTTGTGTAAATTATTGGTGCAAGGCTCCATCATTTATTGTCATGCTTGTGCGAATGCATGAAACCGATGATAACCCATAAAGTCAGGATAAATCAGACGGATGAGCGCAGTTTATATAACAGAAGCCCATTAGCTTCACACCCACATACGTGTTCTTTAGCACACTGAGCGCTTGTGTTGATAAGAGTTTGTTGTAAAAATGTGCGAGACCCGACGGTCTGGATGAGCTCCAGCTGCTCACCCGGCTGCTATCAGCCTCCGGCTCAGGATTCCCGCCCCGGCCCGCTTCTTTTCTGTAAACACCCTTCTCAACATTCTTGTGCTTGTAGGCGGCTCCACTGCATGAGGAATTACATCCATCTGAACTTGTTTGTGTCCTTCATGCTGAGAGCCGTGGCCGTGCTGATCAAAGACAGCCTGCTCTTCTCGGAGGACGAAACCATCGACTGCAGCGTGCAGCCCTCACTGGTGAACGCACAGAGCACTCCCGCCAGCAGTCAGCGGGCTGGCAAAGGGACCCCAGGACCAGTCATTTATTTACGATTCTATTTTTATATATATGATCAATCATGGTGGGGACCAGGCCCTCGGCTGTGTTGATGGTTGTAGTGAGCTTCGGATGGCCTGAGAGGTCCAGGAGTATGGACTGTTCTTACAATGTGCTTTTGTGGTCCAGCTGACTAGAATTTGGGGAGGAATGAAAGCTGATCAAACAGGTATTTTGCTCACAGCAGGAGCTGAAGTAGCTCAAGCAAAGGAGGAATGATTCACCTCAGATTCAGATTATTTTAGTAATTGGTCTCGTTGTGAGTATTGTGCAGGTTTCCCCTTGAAGCTACTCAGCACGGCTCAGCCGAAGAGTCACAGGACTGGAAGTGACTCCTTCACCAGAGGCCGCTTTATTTTAACAACACGTTTAATGTTTTTCATGTAATCATACATTTTTTTGATGCACAAAAAAACAAAACCAGCGGTGATATCGTTGCCGCAATGTAGTAATATTTGTTTCTCCACAGCTCTACTCACAAACACGTTATTCATTTGGAAACAATGACCACAATCTGTGTGAGAAGGTCCTTTAACATTTCCCGTATGGGAAAAGTCAGGGTTGATAAGTGTTGAAGCACACATCCCTCTGAAACAGATGGATGGTTATCCCCTGGTCTTTATGAAACCAATTCAAACTTTGCTAAATTCTAGCTTTATCGCCATTTGCTCAAAAGCTGAAAGCAACAATGTTTGTTCAAGAGAGATTTTCTCCTTAACTAAAAATGATTGCATTTTTCTTAATGAATCTGGAAACGGGGTGTGTTTCAGCTGAACCCTGCACAGTGTCTGTTGTGAATAATGTTGTTGTTGTTGTAGGTGGGCTGCAAGGCCAGCCTGGTGTTCTTTAACTACTTTGTCATGGCTAACTTCTTCTGGCTGCTGGTGGAGGGCCTCTACCTGCACATGCTGCTGCTCGTGGTCCACACCTACTCCACCCGCCTCTCGTTCTTCGTGTTCATCGGCTGGGGTGAGCTACACCGCAAGTTTTTGAAACCGCATCAATGAACCTGCCCAACGCAGCAGGTTTATTGAAAACTGAGGGCATGTTAAAATTCAGTAATCCTTGTGTTTTCTTCAAAAACTAGTGGCAGATTTAGGTCAGCGATATTTATACAGTATGTCCGTTTGCTTTTATGACCTCAAGGGAAGGAGGAGATATCGAGATAATTGTGGCCCCCTTAAAAAACAGTGTGGGAGGTGATGCAATGGAATGCACAATTTTCTTTTTTTCTTTTTAATCTCTCATGGCAAACTGAGCTTTAGGACTCGTCTTTGTTCGATTATTTAAGTCATTCACAGACATATTGGTTCAACGTTTAATGGACATAACTCTTTGTAAGCTGCCGCAGACGGATCACCACACACATACACACACATACACACACACACACACACCACTGAGGTGGTGTTTAAGAAAAGCTCGGGCTATAAACACTGTCCCAGCCCTCTGTGTTGTTTTTTTTTTCCATTCAGTCTCTTCTTCTGCCTCGTGACACCTTCTTCCACTATCTATCACCCTTTACCAACACCCCCCCCACCCCACCCCTCCCTTATGCTTCACCACTGAGCCCCAGCTGTTTAATGTACGTGTGAGTGTTGACGTCATATTTCCAGCGTGGCACCTTGTCATGATGTTCTGTTTCTGGCTCATGGAGAGTCTAAACACGCTGTCTTCTCTCTGACTCCCAGGCATCCCTTTTGTTTTCATGGTGGCGTGGATCATAAGTAGGATCAATCTGGAGGACACCAGGTGGGTCCACGCTTTACCACCAACAAGCTACAAGTTTCTGCACAATTTGACGTCCCCGTTAAGACACAAACAGCGCAAAGAAAAACCTTTTTTCCTAATAAAAAATGGCATAAAGTTTGGATATGAAAGGAGCATCTATCAAACGCTCCCTTTGTCCAAACAAGGAGCGCTGGTGGCTCATCACTTTGCACCAGACACTGACAGAAATCACTGACATAGAAATCAGCAACATCCGATCAGATGTGACAGTAGCTGTAAGCTTGTACCTGTCCAGGTCGATCAAATCCGCTGCACCCTGAGAGTATTTTTACAAAATCAACTCTTTCTCACTCTTTAAAGAAAACCCACATTTACTGGAGTTGCATTGCTTTTGTTTCAGAGCAGTCATGTTTGACTTTTCAGCAGAGTTCCACGGTTTACCCTGAAAAGGTATCACAACAAGAGTGGAGCCATCTTTAAAGTTAAGAAAAATTTGGGCTGTGAACAAACCACATTTCCAGAAAAGGGACTTTTTAAAATGCAGATAAAACGTAAATCTTTATGTTGATTGTATCAAACAAAAAATCCAAAGAGGCCTTTTCTTTTCCTTGCATTTCCAAGGCAAATAATTGAACAGATCAGGTTTCTCAGACATGTTGTTGGAGAGACTAAACTTTAGCCAAAGGGAGCTACTTTTAGACCCAATCTTGACACCTTCACCCGTCATCAGGTGAGCTGCTGATTGGAGAACCCAGAAATGTCTAAAATAGCTCTTTTTATTTGGGTTCTTTGGGCAGCCAGCCAATTTCCACTAAAAATAAATGTCTCCACTTTCTTTCCCCTTTCAGTTGTTGGGAGATTAACGACAACCCCATTCCTGACAGACTCATCAACTGGCCAATCATATCGTCAGTCATTGTGAGTTTTGTCCTTTTTTTATTAATTGCATTTGGTCCATTAATTCAGATTTACTTGGCAGGTTGTTATTTGAACTGGTGCCCCTTTTTTTCTCAACCTGATTATGAACAAGAACTGAAACTTTTAAAATAGGTCACTAATTTCACCTGCAGTTTCGAACATCTGCAATACCTTACTAATCTTTTTCACATCTTTATGTCACTTTAAAAGAAGTTTGATGTACTTTCTATAAATAAATCACTGCTATATCCTGTTGCCCAGGAAACTGACATGTATTACCTACAGTGTCATGTAACTACTCCTTCAGTGAGGGATTTCATCAGTTTTCAGTTTTTTCAGCTTAATTTTCTTCTCGTTAACTGCATTGCTGTAGCTGTTTTCTTAGCAGTGTTGAATAAAGTGTTTTCTGCATGTTAGTGCCTTTTCAAAAAGGATGTAGTATCTTTAGATCAATCTGATAAACCGTGGAATATTTTGTATTTAAAATTTGAAACGATTATAAATACTTTTCCTTGCTTTGTTTCTCCTCTAGATTAATTTCATGCTGTTCATCAGCATACTTCGCATCCTGGTTCAGAAACTGCGATGTACTGATGTCGGGGGAAACGAACAGTCCCAATACAAGTACGCAGGAGTCATATTTTGCCACTGAGGAGTTTGTGATTGATCCACAGATTGACCTCTGTCATGGAACCCTCTTTGGCTACTCACACTATCAACTGATTTAGCTGATTTGAGCATCTCCTTACAACCCGCTCGGCTGATCGAAACACACAAAGCCTGAGCACAGATCCCTCTATCCACACTGTCTGAGTGCTCGTTGTTGGATTACGTACCCACTGTGTGTTGTATGTGTGATTACCAGGCGACTGGCAAAGTCCACCCTCCTGCTGATTCCTCTGTTCGGCGTAAATTACATCGTGTTTTTCTACCTGATGGAGCCAGATGATAAAACCTGGAAAAAAGTCAAAATCTTTTTCGATCTCGGCCTCGGATCTTTCCAGGTACAATGGGACAGGCTGCGCAACAGAAAAAACATTCAAACACTCATTCATTAAAGTCAAAAGGTCCTCTGTCTGTTTTGCTGAGAGACCGATTTGTGGAATGAGACAAACACATTTCAGAATACTGAATAATTTCCAGCTAATTGTTTTATGAATTTGCAATGCAGGTTTTCCCATTCTGAATATATAAGCCAGTTTGATTAAAACATGTGGAAACTTTAATTCTGTCAGACTGAAAGCCGGAGCTTAAACTGACAAAGACAAACCAGGAAATATAAAGACAAAACCAGTAGTAGAAGTGCTGAAAATGTTTTTATTTAAAGAATCCTGTTCCAGTCTTTTTTTTAGAAGCCAATGTTTCTAATATGAAAGATATGTTTGGCCTTAATGGATGGTTGTGTGTTTGTCTTTCAGGGTCTAATCGTGGCTGTCCTCTACTGTTTCCTTAACAGTGAGGTGAGCCTGTCTTTGGCTTTGTTGAAGAATATCTGAAACATCTTTTCAATACATTATATAATTCTGTGCTTCCGGCCTTTCTCGACACAAAAAAAGGTTCAGAGTGAGCTTAGGAGGACGTGGAGAAGTGTTTCTCTGAAGCACTGTGTGCGACGGGACTACAGCCTCCACGCCATGTCAGCCAACCAAAATGGCGCGGAGAACAGGCAGTTTCCCCGGAACATCCGAGCACAGTCCATCCTGCAGACCGAGACCAGCATGCTCTGACCAGCCGCCCGTAGAGCCACAGCAGGAGGGACCACGCTCTGCAACTGTGCCCCCTGGAGGGAAAAACTGTTCCAAAGTGCCTGAAGCTCAACAAAATATTTGATTTTACATTGTCAGATATTTTTCCCACATTGTGCCTGCTGGAGAGGAAAAGACATGACAAACAAATATGAGTAATGAACCAGAATAAAATCAACTCTACTCGGAGAATAATCCCTGAAAATGTCTCGCAGTGGAAGAACAGATGATGTCACCCTTTAATCTAACATAACTCACTTGTATTTACAGGTAGAAAAAAAGTCCACTTTTTTTCCACTTTGGTCTCATTTTTAAGTTAGGCAGCTTTTAAAGAACAAATGAATGTATGAATTCTTTTGAACTTTAATGGTGTAACCCTCAAGACAGTGACTGACACTGATTCCCCCCCTCTGAGCACAGGAGTTGTTTTTAAGGAATTTTGAGAACTGATCTCATATCCAAAGCATGCCAGAACACAGGAAGTCCAAGTTAAAGATACTTTTACTGACATATCATGAGCTCTCAACTGTCTAGAGCCTGCAGAAGAGCCTCCTGCGGAGATGAAAGCATTCTACAGCAAGTCAGTCTTTGCAGAGCAAAAGATGGATTTTGCTTGAATCATTCTTTTTGTTACAAAATGTGTTATGCATTGTTTGTTATTTCATATTTTATTCCAATCAAGAGGAGCAATGTCCTTGGAGTTGTTAGCATTTCCTGGCAAAAAGCTGAAGGTAAGCCCTTTTTCTTTTTTCTCTTTACTGAAGCCAGTTATTAACTTTAAACTAAAACAACTAATTAATTAATTAATCTACAAGATTTAAGTAACAATATCAATCAGGTGCTGGCTTTTATGCCTTTTAAGATCACCTTTGCCTTGAAAGAGAGCTGAATAAGTAAATATTCCACCAAATAGAAATTTTGGGTAAAACTCAGGCCTTTTGGTGCATGTGAAAACTCTGTCATTTCAAAGCCCCAATTTACACCAAAGGATTCTCATGTGTCCTTTCTCCTGAAATTCAGCTATGTATTTTTATAATGATAATAAGGATTGGGGGGGAGGGGCGCTGTGGCGTAAATCCTGGAAACCCAATCCTAAATCAATACAAACCTTGAAGTGAGCATTATGTGGTCTATTTAAAGAGCCTTTTGTAATCTTGTACTCTGCTAAATCTGTTCTTATGCTTTTCAGTTGGATCATCTCACATCCTCTCAGATTTTTGCTTTGCACATTTAAGCCAATAATCAATGTGTTATTGTGATCAGAATGAGCTATTTTTGTGTAAAAGCTCAGGAAGTGTGCAGAAAGATATTGTGCATGTTACTCCTTGTCCTTATTTTTCATGTGTTTTAATTTGTGGAAATTTGTTTGAAAAATCCCTTTTGTTTCAATGTCCTAATCAGGCTTACCAGCTTTGTCTGTTGACTTTCTCTAAATGGCTACATAGGAATACATTTTGCATCATGATGTGAATACATTTAGAGGATTTAAGAAAGGCAAAAACATATTTCTGGATGGATCACTTTCTCTCATTCTGCTGATATTGTTTTTCCTCTCTGCTTGCATGCAGCCAAATTAAAGAAAAATGAAAGAAACTAAAGAACAGAAATGGTTTTGTTTGTTATGTTGACTGCTCTTTTTAGAGATAAACATGCAGAGACTGAGCAAAGATATCGGTCTGTAAGCTTGTGCAAGTCCTCGATGCACCACTGTAACGTAAACCTTCCCATTCCAAATTTATTGAATAATCCAACTATAAATGTATTGTATGTAGGTCTTGAATTTATGTACATCATAGCATTTATTTGTGAGTCTTGACAGGAAAGTTCACCAGCTCAAAGGTGTGTCTGAGCTCTGTTAGTTTGTTTTTTTTAGGAATAAATATGTTGCATATTCCATTAATTGTAGCATCCATAAGTGTCTTAGATACAAAATATACATGTTTTAAGCTAGCACACAGATAGATCTGATCTAAGCTAGGGAGTTTGGGATGTATTTTTAGATTTCTGTGTTCACCTTAGTTTAAGAGCTGATTTTAAAGTTTGTCGTGAAAGATTGTTAGTATGTTTTATACCAATTACAGCCACAAGATGGCCCAAAAGTTGTGCGTGTACAGGCTTTTTGCTAAGATATCTTGGAGGTTTATGAATAAACAACCCCAAGTGGAAATTAATTTGTTCTCATAAACACCTTTGATTTTTCTTTATGATCTGTTTATTCATTATCAATAATCATTATTAATTTATCATATTTAGACACACATTTGTTTTGACGTAGGGAATGGAAACAAAAAAGTAACACTTTATGGTTAGTGATGTGAAATACATTTATTTTCTTACTTTCTGCAGATTTATAAAAAGAATCTCCCCTGTAAGCATCAGATCAAGCATTGTTCATAGATCAATGAGTATAAATATGATGTGGGTGGGCGGGGTTCCTGGACCAGCAAAATCTCTCAGACAGGAGGCCATAGTTCATCTAACCTTCTTCATATTGACAATTTCTATAGAATCAGGACAGAGAACAGCAGTGTTAGGGCTTCTTTACACATTGTGTGACGTTAACATGTTTGAACCACTTACGTTTTTTTACCCATGAGGCCCCGGGATCAGCACACACCTGTCCTTCAGTTGTGGTGAATCTGTCAAATCGATTAAATAAAACATAGCTTATTACAGAGTTTTTTTATTCTTGTGCCCAGGGGCAAAACGTCTAAACTTACATTACAGCGTTCACGCAGGGATATTTAGCGGGCTGCTCACGATATTCGTTCCCGGTAACCAAAGTGCTGATGTTTTTCTTGAAGACTGAAACGCAGCACGGTCGATTCTTTCCAGCTGGATAGTGGGCTGAAAAAGGGCATTGCAGGACTCTGAGCATCTTTTTGCTTAGTTTACAGAATGTTCAATGTTAAAAGAGACACACAGAGGAATGATGAACTTTTTCCCTTGAATGCTTTCACCATAAGAGTAACGGTATTGTTTCAGACAGCAGTGACTACTGAAGATGTAACTCCTTGCCACAGATAGTTTGGTTTAATTGAACGCATTCACATAAGTTTGGGATGCCACAGCAGCTTTCAGATAGCAAAGGAAGAGCATCTAAAACAAGTCCAAATCAAAGTTATGATCAAGGTCTTCTTTAGCAAAGACACCACTTGGGTTTTTTTGCATGGAAAACTAGAAAATGTCTGATGAAAAACAACGATAAATTCCTGTAACACAACACACTTAGCCCACTAAAAACCCTGGTTACCTGTTTTCTCCACACTACAAATAAAAACCACTTCTCAAAAATCCACTAGATGAAAGTTTACATGGCTAAAACTGCACTTCATATGCCTTAAATAAACATTATTACCATGGAGTGGAAATCTGTATCCAACACACACATAGGCTAAATTAAACTCCCCAAAAAAATGATTTGCATCAACCATGGAGAATCCATGCTAAATGAAACTCCAGTGTTTTTTTTCTCTAGAAGCAATACAAGAGTTCAGTTACCTGCAAAGGAGTGAATGCATGAATAAATGGAGAGCAAAATGAGACCAACAAACAGGATCTTCATGGTCGTTCTTAGCAACGGGTGACAGCAAATACGCAGGGCGATCAGCTCCAATATTTGGTGTAAATGGGGGGCATCTTTGTTTATTTATGTACGCAGTGTACGTGTGGGCTTTAGTTGTCTAGTCATGGTTGTCACACCTCCGCCCCTCTGTGACGTCTGAGTTCCTGGTACTGGGTTTTTGATGCCCAATAAGTAATGTGCAACTTCTTTTGATATTGAGTTACTGTTGCTTTATCTGTTTGTTGGTTAAATGTGACGCAGACATCTCATTTACATTTCAGTGTTTTTGTTTTTTTATTCAACAGACCCATCGATGGCAAATCAGACAGTGTTGGTGATGATTATTTTTCCATGCCCACAATACTTCCTGACATGCTCTCATCTTGCTTTGAATGTGGCATCAGAGATAAAAACATATGAGCAGAGCCACTGCTTCTGTTAGACATATAACACGGTTTTATTGGGAGTTTTCTGTTTACTTTGATTGATCTGTTTAACACATCCTCTGAAAATACTCGCAAACCAAACCATGCAGAGTGAAGGAGACAGGAAACGGAGAGAGAGAAATGAGAATAACTAGAAACATAAGTCAAGACATCAGACAGGCCGCAGATGATGAAATAACCTAAGCCACAAACCTGAATTCATGACACCTGTAACTATGATCTGACTGAACATTGTTACTTTTTTGTCTGTGTTAAGTGTTTTTCTTTTTAGGACTAAAATGGTTGGGGCTGTTTAGTGCAGCCTCTTCGTCCCCATCCCTCAGCTGACAGAATTCAAGCTGACTGGTGGTAAATAATTTGTTTTTTTTGGCTCTTCATTATGTGTCACTGTGAGCTGTCCATTTCAGTCTATTTTCAAATTTTTTGTGTTTAATGTTTCCACCACTATAAAACACAGATGTGGTAAATGTGTCCACTTACATGAGGCAGTGTAACTGTTTGCAATGTCTCTGAAATGAGGAAACCACTAAAGGAAAGACCAACACAGTCATGCAACTAAAACTGCTTTACAGTGATGCAAAAAGAAAAGTAAAGCAGTTTCTCGGTACAGGACAGTGTTGCTGTATTTAGTTTAGTGGAACAATCGTGTGGAAAGAAGGCAACTAAATGAGGCTAAAAACAGTATAGGAACTTCCAGTGTGCATAACTGCCCTCTGTGCGACACCAGTCTTGGGAAATACTCAGCTTTGTATCATGGATTTCAGTGCAAAAACTGAAACATGATGTGACACATTGTATGGAACCATTAAAATCAGAAAAATAAATGATTGGACTCTGATTCAGCATTCATCAGAAAAAAAGGGACAAACTGGATACCGGAACTGAGACAGAAACTATGAGGTGCCGTAAAGATGACACAGAAGCCATATATGGAGACCAAATTATCTGGGGTAAATCTATGAAGGTTTCATTCCAATAACAGACTCTCTATTTCTCTCAGATATTCTTGAAAGCAGAAATTTTAGATTCAATGTTTATATGATTTTTTCTTTTGCCCATTCTGATCCAGTCATCATGAAACTGCGGTGACATAATCAATATATTGTTGGGGAGTACAATGTAGCCCCTAAATAATCAGACGGGTGTGTTAGAGAGGGTTGTGATGTAGTCAAATCCGCCTTAAAAATCACTGTTTTAGACTAAAGCAGTGCCATCATCTGGCATCAATAAAATATCCCATTTCTGACTTCTTCAAATAAAAATAATTGTGAGCAAATCATGCAGTTAGGTTTGAATAGTTGTAAATTTGGATTCTAAATAAATGTAACAGCCTTAATAAATACATTTTAGCCACTTTGCTTTATAAATCATGTAACTTTTTTCATTACGTCTCTTAATGTTTTAGTTTTGCAGAAATGAATGCCAGAAACAATAAGCATGGAAGATTTGAGGCATGTTTATTACAGAATGAGATGTTATATCTGCACAGTATCAACTTCAGATGAACATTAATAACCATTATTTTAGCAAATAGGACAGTTTAATATTTTTAAACGTTTTATTAGATGTAGTAAAAACACCAACCTGTCATAAGTCATTTCTAAATGTTATAAATACATTTTGTAATAAATAAAATCGTTTACTTTGTTAGCACAGGAAAGTTAAAGAAATAAATACTTTAAATAGCACTACACCTAAAGAAAACACTCTATAGAATTCTTCATTTAAATTAATTTAACTTAAAATTCTCAACAAGAAAAAAAACATGAGCTACAAGCCATCTTGAGGAATGGTGGTTTACTGTTTGAAATCAGTGGTGAAGGGGATGCTCTCGCCCCCAGAGATGCCCTCACCAGAAGTTTCTGTGGAAGTTGAGTCAAAGGAGGGAGGAGATGAATAAGAAGAAAGAGGGTTAGAGGATGAAGGAGAGGCAGTGGACGTTATGATGGAGAGGAGGGAGACTGAAGACGGTTTGACTCCAGACGGAACGGTTGGATTTGCTTTTGCTTTCCTGTGGGAGAAATTACAGAAAGATGTAAAACTCAAACTCTAGGGAAAGATGAATTCCAACAAGTGCAGAAAAAATTAAATGGTGACATAAACCCACCTTAATTCCATAATCTTTCTGCGAACCCAGGGAGCACTGGCCTGGCTGCAGTAAAGCCCCGACTGTGTCTGAAAGCTGTGGATTGACAAATAAATGGATCACTATCAAAGCTTCATCATCTGTATGCACATTTTTACCAAATTCCAGATGTTATCAACTCTTTTTTAAACATGCGATGCGCCTTTAAAAAATCCTCTTTTACTTACATGACTGCATTGACACACCAACCACTGGCTCTCTGAACCAAATATCCCAAAACTGGTTCAGTGATCTCACGCTTGTTGACAGTCGTACAGCAAGAAGCCAGCTTCTCACTTGGATCTAAACAGAAATGAGTTTAAAAGGATATTTCAGTCCAAATTCAAGAAAGACATCAGTGAGATTGTATGCCAAGTTGAAATAAAGTCATATGACATTAATCTTACCGCACTCAGCCACAGCCACCAGGACGACAGCCACCAGCACACACTTCATGAGCCTTGCACAGTTTTGCATTTTGAAAGTCGACGGATATGAGTTTGATAAGTGAGGAAAAAGTTCTGTGCCAGGTAGTCGTCTTCCTTTCTCCCCTGAAAGCTTGGTCAAGTGACAATCGTCTGGACGCAGTGATACTTAAGGCTAAAAAGCAGAAGCAGCTCATCCGGTTAGTCATCTTCCTAATTTTCTTTTTCCCTCCTCTTTTCACATGTGAATGAACTGGATGCTGAGGTAAGGGGAATTCCACGAAATGACCGGCAGCGTACGCTCAGGAAACACTTTTACTACGTCTTTCCATTCGGAAAAATTCAGTCACGATCCTTCATGGCCAACATTTTGTGAAGGCCTGAGGAATCTTTTCAAAGAAACCAAACCAGACTGCGGAGATAAGAAAATATCAGTTAGTGACAAAGCCTCATGCAAACATTGTCAAAGGATAAAATGTACAAAAAAACCCCCAAAAAAAGAACGTATTGAGAGACAAATTTCCCCCGGGTTTAGCAGAAGTTACATTCGTTCTATAATAAGTTTGGCAAATCGTGATATGAGGTAAAATTCTGCTCCTGGTCACACTCAGACATGTCTCAACATGACCTCTAGGTTTCGGTCTATAGAGTAGTATGACCAGCGTTCTCTTAGTAAAAACAGGAAAGCAAGAAATAGCTAGAGTGGCATACTGAAATATGTTTAAGAAAGAAAGAATATTCTCTACAACATCCAACCCCTTTTATACTTACACAGTTCTGTGCAAAATTCTGGGGAGGATTCATCCGTCCATCAGACCTGTTGCCACTGATTTTCAGTCCACTTCTCGTGCCCTTTGGCATAGCTCAGCCTTTTCTCCCTGTTTCCCTTCAGTAAGAATGTCTTCTTGACAGCCATCCCTCCATGGAGAGCATTTAGATGAGGCTTGGGCCAGCAGCAGATGGATCAGCTGAAGGTCCAGATGCATCTCTTAGTTCCCGAGTCAGGTTTTTGCTGGATTTTTTCTCTTTTACTACGAGCATCACTGCCAGATGCTCTTCAGCACTGTGGATAGTTCTTTAGGCCAAACATGTCTTCCTCTTGTCCTGCACTTGTCCAGTTTGCTCAAATGCTTTAATGAAACACTGCACACCATGCTTAGATATGTTAGGTTTTCAGCTAATAGCTTTTTGGAAATCAGCTTGTTGCAGCAACAACACTATTTTTTGACTGACAAACTATCAGTCAAACTATCAGTGTTATCTTTGCCATTTTTCAGAGAAGAGAGAGTTTCAGAACGAACAGGAACCTAAAATTGCAAGAGTCAGCTGCCTCTTCAAATAGTTTAACTTCATGTTTTGCTTTAGCACAATTCTTTTGCATCCGGATTCACTTGGAGAGACTTTCTTATAAAGCAGTATCTCCTCTGTCAGCATATTCAAGTGTTCTTGGACAGCCTGTTTATCCTGGTGCTCTGAAAACCACAACTACATGTTAATTCAAAGTCCATTTCCAGCCACTCAAATCAGTTTAGAGACACTCTTGAATCTGTGTAATATTTCGTATTGAAGCAGTTCCCCTCTCACTGGGATCCTTCTGCATGTGGATAAAGGTAAATCATCGCCTCACAGCAAGAGGGTTCTGGGTTCGAGTCCCTGGGGAAACTCTTTCTTTAACCTTAAGGTTTGTTAAACAGTTGCATATCCTTATGCTTGCAGACCTCTATAAGGTAGAAACCAGAACCGTAGCATTTAGAAAAAAAACTGTTGAGGCCAGACAAGAAGATGTCAAACAACAACGTGAAAATAGACGGAAGCCAGACAGGAAATGGCTTGGTGTTGCAACAGGGTCTGAGCAAAGCCATTTGTGCTGGGTGTACTTTCAATTTGTTCATTTCCCGTAAGATCCAAATGCATCATTGGAGAAATTGCTTCTCTTGAAAAGAAAACCAAGAGACCATGTGTCATTCTGGTGTTTAAAAGGTTTAAATTAAGCATCTGTCCTTGATACTGATAGAGGATGAATTCCTTTATCAGTATCAAGGAGAGATGGTTCATTTAAACCTACACTTACAAGAAAACTATTTGAAAAATGCAACTCCCCCTCTGGTGCTGGTTCTCTGCTTGTGTAATGTCTTTGATAAATCTGTATCAAATGGAAATTAAGAATGATGTAAAGCTTGGAATTGTAGCTATTTTAAGAGGGAATTTCTCAAAAAACTAAAACTAAAAAGGTTTTATTCAGCATTTTGAGCGAGATGAAGAACATCCCATGTGTTGCAACTGAGAATGAGAAGTATCATGAGGAAATTAAGGGGGAATTTTGGTTCATATGAGGCAGCTAATCAGTTGAATATATGTGTGATGCCATTATTTCTTTATCATAATAAGATAATTTTTGTTCTAACTTTAAAAAAAGTTGGGAAGCCTGCATGAATCATGACTATACAGATATTGTTAGTCAGTAATTTTCCCTGACAATAACTATCAATGAGTTGATAATTCTCATTATCTCTGGGGGTGTGAAAGCCACAAGCAGGTTTACTCAAATCTTTCCATGAGACAAGAGTGGCTGGGGGTTGAGAGGTGAGGTTTCAACTCATGTCAGTGCCGCTCTTTCATACAGAGTTGAAAATATACCAAGCTATGTGAGAACACTTCTTTTACTTCACTTCGTTTATACACATATATTAGGCTGATTAGCTGCCTCATAAGAACCAAATTTCCCTCTTAATTTCTTCATGATACTTCTCATTCTCAGTTGCAACACAAGGGATGTTCTTCATCTCGCTCAAAATGCTGAATAAAACCTTTTTTTTTTTTTGTTTTTTGAGAAATTCCCTCTTAAAGTGGCTATAATTGTAAGCCTTACATCATTCTTAACTTCCATTTGATACAGATCTCAGCTGTCAGTGAGAGGAGAACCAGACCTTGAACAGGTCACCAGTCCAGCACAGAAACTAATGAAGCAGAAAAAAAACCCGCGGTCACGTTCACTCCTACGGCCAATTTAGAGTTTCCAATTAATCTGACATGCAAGTGTTAGCATACACGGAGAGAACAACCAAAATCCACAGAAAAAGGCCCCAATGGGGTGTAAACCAGGGACCCACTTTCTGTGAGGCAGCCAAGTCTGATCATTTAGAGGTTGAGATGAATCCTCCCAGCTTACAGTGAAAAATCCCAATCAGGAATCAAGGTGTATAGAAAGAAAATAAACACTCCTCTTATGCCAGTTTTTAAGGTTTGTCAAAGCTTGTGCAAGACCCGACTTGCATTTGGAGTCTTTATCTCTATTCATTTCAGTTCAGCTGTTTGTTTTTTTATCCCTGAAGACATATCAATGCAGCATCAACTGTCATTACATATGTATTTCCTCTTTTCTTTTCTTTTTTACGATAGATAGATGACAAAATAGATATAAAACAGCTGAAAGATATGTTGAAAGCCGAGTGCAGTACAGAAGTTGTGGTGGAAATCTTCAGAGGTCTCTATTAGTGTTGTTTTGTGGCTACATACAGTTACAACTTTTAGCTCTGCATCCTACACATCTCCTCTGCACTAAAATGGTGCAAAAAAAGTGCACTGGAGCATAAGTAGATGGCAAATGTGTTCAAATAAGTATACATTTATTATCAGGAGTTTGTTGCAGACTTTGAGTAACATTGTCTCTTTCTGGTATTGAACAAGATAGGGAGAGCAAAAATATGAAGGAAATGCACAAATTACTGTGTGAAAGCAGTTGATAAGAACAAAATCTCTCTCAAACACTGATTAAACAAGCCACATCAACATAATGTGTAAAAGTAATGCTCCGTGAAATGTTGTGAACTGCACATTTCCTGTTAAGTTGACAGTTTTCACATGTTTAGAGTCTGTATATATTGTGGTGTACCACATGTGCTGAGCTCATGTTGAAGTGACTATTTGTGCAATTGACTGTGGAAATAGTTTGGTGCCGTTCTCACATGTTGGCTCAGAAATAATGCCTAACTCTCCAGGACAAAATATGCACATAATGCCTTTAAAAAAACTTTATGCAGCAGGTGAAGGGGATCTAAAAGTGATATTTTTAAGAAAAGGGGGGGGGGGATCAAGCAAAGACCTGACACAGGTTCTGCAACTGGACCATCAGCTGATCCATCTGCTGATCATCAGAAAAGAGCCAGACCTCAACATTAGTGAAGCAGTGTGGGATCATCTGACAGGGAACGGAACAAAAGGCAACCCACATCCAAAGAAGAGCTTTAGGGTGTCCTTCAAGAAACCCGGAGAGCTATTCCTGGTGGCTCCTTAAAGAAAGGACAAAAAGCAGTTTTTGCCTTAAAAATTGTACTTGAATTTAAGTTTACCGATGTTTAAATAAACTGCTTGATTTGTTTGCTGTTTTCATTTAAACGTGAAAATTCAAAATGTAATATATGTGAGGTAGTTTTGGTTCTTTTTGAGAAAATGCTTTTTACAGGGGGAATTTTATGGACTTGGACTTGGTTTCAACATGCCCAGACAGATGACAATTCCTTAAAAATCCTGAACGACTTTCTTTTCTACCTTCATTCATTTCCTAAGCCGCATAAAAAGAGAAAAAAGATGGAAGAGGAAGCAATGCCTCCAAATAAGCCAAAGCATCAGGAGAATGACAGGGTCATGTGCAAAACTAATCATCAAGTCTTTCGCATGGATCAGCATTAGTCGGCCTATGTGGAGAAATGCTTCGTCATCCAGCAGAGGCGGTGTCACGCCGTTCACATTCCATTT